CACACACACACACACACACACACACACACACACACACACACACACACACACACACACACACACACACACTAATCACAGCTTGGTACAGGTAGTGAGGCTTTGGGACTACTGGTGATTGAGCCTCCCTGGTGGATTGGAGCAGGAATCTGACAGACTCAGATAAAAGGCTGTTTGGAGTTGCCTGCAGCATCAAACAGCATCAGCCTCCTCCCCCCACTTCTCCTCCTTACCATCACCTCCCCTCTCTTCACTACGCCTCTTTTGGTTTACTCTGTTGCCATGGCTACGCTCAGCCGGAGCCGTCATGTTGCGGAGGAACCTGTCAGGGTGCCGCTCTCAGATCACCTGATGCGGGTCGCCTCCACTGGTGGCCTCTTTCACATGGTGTCATCGTTCAATTTGGCTTTGATTAAGTCTGCTCTCCATAGCGAGCTGCGGCGCAGGAGTGCAGTCGCTCTATTTCTTTGGTAAATGTTGAGCTTGTGCAATTTTGTTGACCTGGTGTTTTGGAGAGAACACTTTGAAACAGCAGGAAAAAACCATAAATACAGCTCTCGTAGGAAATTTCCACATCTGTGAAGAGAGTCTAGTCAAGGCAGCATGATGTGAGTGGAGGATAGGTAAACATTACCTGTTAGGAGTCACGCCGTGGGGATGGGTGGGCTCTTCTGCATGAATGAAAACAGTAGTAGGTGGGATACAAGACTGATCCCAAACTCACATAAACCTGAATTCTTCCTGTGAGAAACCCATTACCTGCCACTCTGGATGCTGTGCTTTTCATAATGTGCTGTCCAATTTGCAGCCAGTTAACTCTGTGTGTGTGTGTGTGTGTGTGTGTGTGTGTGTGTGTGTGTGTGTGTGTGTGTGTGTGTGTGTGTGTGTGTGTGAGGGGCTATACATATGCTGAATCTACAGGCAGCACTGAAATGTTTAGCCTGGTTGATATTTGCTTTTACATGCGAATATATGCATGTATGAATAAATGAGTGAGTGAATGATAGAGGAGAGGTGGTAGCCGAAGTTTTGCGAGATGATGGGAGGATAGATAGATAGAGAATAAGAGAGAGAGAGAAAATGAGCATTGTCAGGATCTAGAGAGGCTGGGACACAGATAGGGAGATGAATGGGGCTGAGAGCAGGAAAATTGGACAGGGGACGGGGAGTGAATGAAGATAGAGAATGGCTCGAGATATCAGGAGACAGAGATTGTGAGCTATGTGCAGGTAATAAACAAGGCAGAAATAGATAGATATCTCCTGAGAGGAAAAAGAAAAGTGTGTGATTGCGGGCATTGGGGTAGATGTTTGGAGGAATTGTTGCTCCCAAAAGACCAAAAAACCAAAGGGAAGAAAGAGAGGGCAGAATGGCGAGGAAAACTGGAAAGAGTGTGAATAATGACACAAGCCAGAAAGATTTGGATGAACATGCTGTACTTAGTCTTACTTGGCCAGCTGAGATGATGTGTATCCCTGCTAAGCTCTCCTTTAGGCAGGCTTAGATCTCATCAACTCACTCCAGGTTGGCACCAGTTTCAAATGCTGCTGCAGAGCTCTGGATTAACTATACAGCCGTCACTCAGACACTTAAACAGGGTCTGGAGAGGCTTATTGCATACTCCCCCCCACCACCCCACAGCGCTCCTCACCCACCCACAGTCACTGCATCCATCTCCATTTCAAGCGACTTGCAGAAGGACTTCATTATAAAGCTGTCTGCCGTGGTCACCTACAGTCGTGCTAATTGTGCCATGATTTTTAAAAGAGGTCAGATGAGCAGGTCCCTCCTGTCCTCCCACTTACTTCCACTGTAACTTATTCCAGGCCTCTGTAGTGTTTCTTTTTTTATTCTGGTGCTCTTCCACAGCTTCTCGTGCCAAATCCCCCGCCTCCCCCCTCTTCTTCTCTGGCTGGATCTTAGGCTTTCATATTTGGAGGCCCTGCAATCGATACGGGCTGTCTGTGATTGGGTTGCCTTGTGTGATTCATTTCTGTAACCTTGGTGATGGTTTGATGTAGAGGCTGCACCCATGTCCATATTATGACTCACTGAGCGCGTGTGGAGAGGAGAGGCAGGTCAAGGGAGATATTGATTGGCCCTTCACTTTCCCTGCCCTCTCTGCTCACCCCTCCATCTGCTTTTTCTTTATCCATCTTTTTTCTCACTTGCAGTGCTGCCTCGACAGTTTAACCATAATTCGAAATGACTTTGTTTTCTCAAGAAATTATTATTTAACCCTAAATGTTCCCTTGGGTGTTAACATTTATCAATTTTCTTCTCTCTCTCTCTTCCTTTCTCCTATTTTTCTTTCTTGTTGCAGAATTCTATCAGGCACAATCTGTCGCTGCACAGTCGCTTCATCCGGGTGCAAAATGAAGGGACGGGGAAGAGTTCCTGGTGGATGCTCAACCCAGAAGGCGGGAAGATGGGAAAGGGACCGAGGCGACGTGCATCTATAGACAATGGCACCCGCTACCTGAAGACGAAGGGTCGCATCAGCCGGAAGAGAGCAGGGGCCATGGGGCTCCAACGAGGACAAGGTCAGGGAGCTGGACCAGCGATGCAAGGCTCCCCAGAGCACGGCAGTCCAGCGGCGAAAGGAGGTGTGGGCATAGGTGGAGAGGAGTATGATACTTGGACAGACCTCCATTCCCGGACGTCATCTTCTGGCTCCACGTTGAGCGGCTGCCTATCTCCAATCCTAGCTGAGGCCGAGGCTGATGAACCAGAGGAGGGTGGGCTTTCCAATTCAGCTTCCCCAAGAATATACCCAAGCCCCACTAGCACGCGTTCCCCAGCCTTGGGCACTGGAGGCCACTGTCCCACGGTGGAGTTGCCTCAGCTGACTGACCTGACTGGGGCTATCAGTCTAGATGAGAGTGGCTACCCCCAGCCACCACAAATTAAATGCAATGGTTATCCCTATGTGCCTGGACCCAAGGCAGAGGGCTCCTACTGTGCGCCAATGTACGGGCAACCTTCTATGGGCATGCTGCGCCACCACACTCCCATGGAGACCATCCAGGAGAACAAGCCAGTCAGCTTTCAGCGCCCAGTGAGGGGCTATTCAGAGAACAATGCCCTGCAGAGTTTGCTCACTGGAGGTCCTCGATATTGCAACAAAGACACAGTCCTGAGCCAAGGACGGGAACCACACACATTAATGACACAGGGAACCAATGGCATTCACAGCCAGCACAATCAGAATCGCAGCCACAATCAGAACCACAGCCAAGAGCATGCTCGCAATGCAAGTCTACACAATGACCATGACCAGAACACAACTCACCATCAGAACCACAATCAGGGTCACAAACACCAAGCCTGCCTCGACTACGCACACAGTCACAAGCCCCACCCGGCTCACGACTACGGTTCGAGTCATGATCACAATCACAGTAAAGTAAATCCTAGCCATGATCACAACCCTCACTCCACGCAGAGTCACCTGCACAACCACAATCCCCACAACCCTCATAACCCTATGCATAGCGGGCCTCACCATCAGGCCCTTTCCCCGAGAGTGAGCACTGACATCCTGCAGCCCTACAGTCTCAAGACCTCTAACCACTATGGACCCCGTCCCCACCTCCCAACATCCCCTTCTCTGCCCCCGAACCCTGCCGGCCTTATGGGTGTTCCCCAGGACCCCTGCCGCCTGGCATCCGCACCTCACCCTCGTCATCAGCCTTACCCTGGAGCTCACCATCAGGGTATCACTGACTCCTGGCATGGGTTCTACCCCAACAATCACCAGTCAGGGAATGCTGGTTTCCAACCTCAAAACTCCCAGAGTAGAATGGCTGCTGACCTGGAGATGGAGAATGTCCCTAATAGTCTAGACTGTGATGTGGACTCTATCCTGCTCAGTGATTTTATGAATACAGAAAACATGGACTTCAACTTTGACGGTTCTCTGTCCCAGGGAGTGGGGATGGGGATGGGCATGAGTCTAGGGGCTTTTGCATGCCCCCCGCCTTCACACAGCAACCAGAGCTGGGTGCCAGGGTGAACTTACGCCCATACATACAGACTCGTGACCAGAAAGCTCATTCCCTGGGCTGGGCTGCTGTTTGGCTGTAGCCTTGGACTGACTGACTGACTGTGATTCTGTATCATCATTTTGTTTTCTGGGGACTCCCCACACTCCGATGTTGTGCTCTTTCTCTTACTTAAAAGCCTTCTGTCGCCATATCGAACCTGCCCCCAGTTAGCACAGTGCTAAAGCAACCCCCGCCTTTCATTTTTTATATTTTTATTCTCTAATCCCAAGCTCATTCTGCCTGTCCCTAAGCTTCCAAGCACTTTATATCCATCTTTTCATACAACAGCAGTAACACAGAGCCCAGGCAAAGTCATGTTGTGTGTTGGCTTAATGTATGCAATCCACTTTACAGTATTAAAGGAGGCGTTGTTCTTGACTTGAGAACATGATCAAACAGCTGCATAAATGTCTTCAGTGTGGAGGTGCTCTCAAATCGGGGGTTAAAAGTCAAGGGAAGGCTTTGAAGTTTAAAGAAAAAAGGTTTTTAGAAGAAGAGGGAATTTGCAGGTATAGAAGAGGGGAACTCCAGGGTGATTGCGACTCGTCTTCTTCAGGTGGACAACGGTGTTTCGTTTCAGGCTCGGCACAGGAGGACAGGCGTCCATTAGGCAACGCTCAGCACTGAAATGCAACGTCCCTTCTTTAATCTCCAAAGTAATGCCAGAGTGATGCATCACTATTGCAAATCTAATGCGCCACTCTATAGTTTTTCAACCTCCCCCTTTCTCTTCAACTCTGGACACATTGGCTTAATGTGTTTTGGCAAAAGTGATGATTAAACTCACTCTGCACTAAATGGGCGAGGGATTGAAATGGGTGATTTTTGAGGGCGGGGGTGGGGTGGCATTGAAGGGGGATGATAGGAGAGAAGAAATGCAAATATTCCCTCTGTGTCTCTTCTTCTCCATTTAGTGGATTTATGTAGCTTTCCCCATAATGAAATAAGCAACGATCGCGGCCTGCTGTGCATCCTTAGGGGCTCTCTGATTGGCCTGTGCCTCATCGCCTCGGCGTGGCACCTTCACCGACTGACCCGAGAATACCTTAGTGAGCAAGTGTGGTCAGGCCAGCATGTTGATGGAGCTGCTGTCCTCAGACCCCAGGTAACCGTGTGTAATTCACTAACACCCAGGTTCAAGCCCACTATGTGCTTTTACTCCTGTGAATTGCTCACTGATGAACACCGTCAGCAGATTACTATTTGGTGCTATCTCTTCTTCCCAGGCTCCCTCCTATCGCGCCGCCCCATCCCGAGGTTACTCGGAGGGTAAACAAGAGTAATTAACCGCCAAACAAGATGGATGATTTATGCAAGTGTGTGTATTCGCTCATTGGCACAAAGTCATAATTCTCTGCACCTCCCACAAAGCACAAGCAGGGCGTATTTTGAGAGGTGGTACCCAGCGACGAGGTAGAGCGGCTGGCAAACGGTATGCTCGCAATGTCCTTCAAGAATCCTCTTTACAAGACTCCCATCCCGGCCATAGCTTTACTTTGCTGTTGTCTTTTCTTGTGCTTGTTCTGTGATCGTGCAGTTGTCTGTCCTGTTTCGGTACAGCGTGGATAGGAGCTTTTGTGTGCATTTTATTTTCTTTGTTCGCAGTGGGGAAAACAGGAAAAGGGTGGCAATTGCCAGCCCTCGTGCTGGCAACTGTCCCCTTCAAGATAGAGAGAATAGGGACAAGAGAGGGAAGGAAGGTAGATGGATATCAAGAGATGCTAAGAGGGAGGAAAAGAGCTGAATGAGGAGGTAGGATCTCTAAGACCGTAAGAGATTTTCTAGCTTGGAATTGGCTGTTTCAATCAGGCCAAATGTCAAGTGCTACTCAGCTAGCTGTAGCGAGCTTTGACCAGAAAGCCACTTCTCCCTGGTGATCAAGGACAATGACGGGTATTTCCATGCACATTTCTTTTGATTTTTTCATTCCTTTTCAGGAGTTAAGATAACCCATTGTTGTAATTCAACTGTAATTTGTTCTCTGGCCTGTGTGCAATTGTGTCAAGCTTGTCGTGGGTGTGCGAGCGTGTATCACAGTGATGTACAAGAACTGATTAAGGGAATATTATTGAGAAATAACTTGCCCTGGTGTTGTCTATGCCTGGCTGAGTGCACCAGATAATATATACAGTTTATATTTATTGGTTAGGGAGCTGGGTCTACGGAGGACCAGACCCCTCACTTCCCTGTTTCCTTGATGACGAAGAAGTGGAAAGCTATTTCAGTTTGACGACATTTCGTTATGTACATAATCTATATTGACAAAATTGTATTATAATTTTTTTGCAAATATCAATTTCTTTTCTAAAATGATGTATCTGCTCTTCTGGTGACTGTAAAATAAAAAATACAACCCTTTTTGTTTTGTGTCTCTGTGATTCGATTGGACTAGTTTTACATGTTTAGTTCTAGTTTGTGTTCACGCTTTTCCAAGATTAAAAAAATAAAATATAAAGTCATATAAGATCAAGAGTAATTCACTGGCTGGAGATTTTTGATGATGCCAACAGAACTCATATAGGAAAATCTAATTTCAGTGACTAACTGTGAATATTAACAATGTTAATACTAACAATGTTAATACTAATAATGCAATATTAATATTATCAAGTCAACAAATAATTATGCAAAGAAAGCAGAAATTATAATGCTATAAATACTTCAGTATGTTTGAGGTATTTCTAGGTGATTATTTTATTTTCAATAAAACAAGCTGACAAAAGTAAAGAACCTCTTTTTACTCTGATCCAAATAGTTAAAAATGTTATAGTGAAAGTGTATAAATGAAGGTGAATGTATAAATGGTAACTGTGTTGACTCCCACTTTGGATTCCTTTGAAGTTACAAAATTAGCATTTTGGGTTTTTTGGAGCCAGAAATGACCTTAGAGTGATGAAAGAAAGTTTAAATTTATTAGCTGGCGTGGTCAGCAAGTTCCCTTTAAAAACGGTGAAATGCACAGACAACAATGTGACAGACCTGAAGCACAAATTCTTCATTTCATTTCATTTCAATTCAATTTTATTTATTTAGTGCCATACACAACAGTTTTCTCAAGGCACAAATATAATATGAAAACATGTTACTACAAAAGATGTTCACGTGATATTAAAATATGACAAATTAACGCCAATAAAACAAAAAAGCGCAACTAAAAAGTGCGTTGCATTGTGCCGTGCATTATTAATGATGCACGCTGTTTGAAAATTAATGACAAAAACTTCAGTAAAAGTGACACTTATCTGAAGACGCGTGACCTCCACGAGCTTATCTGAGAAACATTGAGCGTTTCCCAGGCCAGCTGATGGTCAGGTCTACGGGCTTCCTCCCAGAAGGACATGGCTGGAACACCCACGAGGTGACTGCCTCCAGTGTTACTGGAAGACAGAATAACTGTCTAGTTGTACACCATGTTTCTACGCTTTCTAGGTCAGAGCACAAAAACCTTGGTTTTACCACATAATACAGCCTTAACATTAGTCAGGTAATCTGTTAAAATAGTCCAAAAGGCAATGCACACGCTCACAACATCCAGATGTTTTTCTTTCCAAGCTCCTGATGACCTGGGTGATTGAGAACCTTTGCAGACAATCCTTGGACTCATTGTCAGACCATACTGAATACCTCTGGGAATTGCTTGAATGAAAGTTCAGTAAAATTGACTAATCCACCACATCATTTTTTCAGTTTGATTTTTGGGGTATCTAAGAATTCAGCTCTCTGTAGGATAATAACCGTTGATTCTAGTGTTAAAGCCAACAAGTGGCAAAAACTGCAGTTCTGCTTTTTGCCACTTGGCAGACTCCAAAAATCCTCATACTGTAGACTCTTATCTTAAAATCTCTAAATTTAAAGGACTGAAAAATATAGTTACAGGCTGATATACAGTAAAATGTGGTTTTTGCTTACGTTGGTATTTTCCTTTCCAAGGTTTCCAAAGTTTCAAGTTTTCAGGTGAACCCATTGTGAGACATCTTGATGCTCAATCATCCAGATAAGTAAATGTCAAAAAGCTGCTTTTGTTCATCTGGATGTTTTCAGTGGGAGACTTCTTCAGTCTCAGCTGACTGCAGGTTTCCAACCTTCCAACAGTTCGTTTACACAATGACTGAAGCTAGCACCACTGAATGAACACCCAGCCCCACCCTATCATGTGACTTACTGAGAACAGGTGGCCCAGGATGTGAGTAGACGTTAAGGAAGGGATCTGAAAACTGGATTATAGATGACAGACAGTTGGCATCGTAAGCCACCGCCTCTGTTCAAAGATGGTCGATAGGGTGGGGCAAAGTCTCCAAACGGGTTCACCTGAAGCCTTGGCTGATTGTGACCCACACTGTGATTAGGCAGAGGATCAATAGGGGGTCCAGGACCTCTTAGGGACACTCCAATTGGGCTTAAAATCTGGGGCTCTTCACCAATCGCTCCTAAAACTGAAGAAGCTTCTCAGATGAAAAGTCTTCAAGAAACTTAAAGTCCAGACACTTTTCTTTCCAAGCTCAGGTCCAAGGATTTCATCCTAATACCCAATTGGCAGTCATTTGGCTGTTGCCACGACTGTAGAGGTCTATTTGTCTCTCCATGGATGTGTCTCTGTAGACATCACTGACCCACCAACAGACAGGGCATGTTGAAAAATGTTACGGGCAGCATAATGTTCTCCGCAGCTTCTCCACACTCTTTTACATCTGTGACATGTGGTCAAGGTGAGCCCCCTCTCATATGTGAAAAGCCAGGTGGGGGGTTCCAGTGGTAGACCTGACAATTCAGGTGTACTACAGCAAATGCTAATGGGGCTCCATGGTACTAGGCAGTGAGCACAGGGTCCACTAGAGGGCGTCTGACCCTCAGGACACCCTCATGGTGTTTATTTCTGATTGGTCAGAGACATTAACACCAGTGCCTGCTGGAGGTCACTTTGCAGGTCTCTGGTAGTGCTCCGTCTGTTCATCCTTTCACAAAGGAGCAGATACCAGTCCTGTCCAGCTCTCCCACAGTAAATCACTGTCTCCTGAAATCTCCACCATGACGTAGATACTGTGCTTGGCACCAAAAAACAGGTGGCTCTAAACTTTTTTTTCATGAGCTCAGTACCTTGGGTGGGTAGGGTAGGCATGGGTGGCTGTAGCTCAGGCACTAGAGCAGGTCATCTACTGATCGGAAGGGGGCTTCCCCTAGTCTGCATGCAGAATATCCTTGGCCAAGATACTAACCAAGTTGCTCTCAGATGCATCCATTGGAGTATGAATGTGTGTGAATGTTAGAAAGTTAGAAAGCACTAAGAAAAATGTGCTTGAGTGAATGGGTGAATGCACAAGTTGGGTAAAGCGCTTTGAGTGCTCAGGATTGAGCAGAGCGCTACATAAGAACCAGTCCATTTACCTTCAACAGTTTCTAATGGAGAGAAGGAGAAGATGGAATGCTGAGGCAAGAATGGAGCAAGTACAAAAACCTCCTGAGAAAAGAGTGGGAGGTTACATTTAACTGTAGTTACAGACAGACTGGAAGAAGCCCAGGAACAAGAAACAAAAGCCACGTTATTCAGAGAGGTTTGAGGGCATCTGACTGTTTGGGTTTTCTCTGTGAGCTTTAACTTGGCCAGATGGTGGATACAAACCCAGGATCTTCTCGCTATGAGGCGGTGGTGCTAACCACCACACCAGCATGCTATAGAGCTAGTTTATAATATTTGTTTTTGTCCTTTTTGCCCTCAGTTTTAGCTGTGGTAAGAGTTGCACTATAAATACAAGCCATTGTTTCCAGATTTGGAAACAGGCAAAGGGTGACAATTGCTCTCACTCGTCTCATTAGACATGAGTGTTCAGATTATTGGCGAATTTTTAAATGAGCCGAGAGTTCACTGCTTCGTCAAAGTTATAAACTGAAAATGACTGAACCTAATACACTGGGGGGAAAATCTCTTTATCCTTGAAGAATTTACAATTTGCACAAAGTCAGTCTATGAACTATGATAATAGCAGTAAGATAATAATTTTAATATTCACTTGTTTCTTACTTCATCTCACTGAGTGTTGATGTTTTGTTTCCACAGATTAGCCATTAGCTTTGTGAATGCAAGGACTCATATATAATAGGGGTGGGGAAAAAAATCGATACTGTGTAGTATTGTGATATTTTGTTTGCTAATAATGTATCGATACAGGGACAGCACAAATCGATATTTTGTAACAAAAAAAGTTTTTGTGGACTGGAACTCTGACTTCAGAGCATGTTGATCCTTTTTCTGAGCAACAATCCTGACATTCCTTCACTGTCCAAATGTGTTTAACTT